CAAGTCGTTTGGTTGGGCTTCTGTGAGCTTGTTACGCCGGGTTGTGGCCAGGCTGTCACGCTGAGTTGTCGCTTATGCCAGGTCATGTCAACGTGTCCCCGTGCTACGAGGTCAGGCCAAATCTCCCTACATCAATTGCCCCCCACTCCCCGTGCTAGGGGGTGCTGACCCAGCGCGGGGAGTCTACGGTTTGCCGGGTGGATTTGGCTCGGGGTCTAAGCCTTCTTGTCTGCCAACTCATAGGTTGGGTTGGTTCTCTGCTCGGTCTTGCCAGGCGCAGCTCGGGTCGTGTGCGGTTTACGCGCAGACATCACACAAGTTATAGGCTCCGTGGACGTCAAAAAACGCGCTAAACTGATTTCACCTTGAAGGTCGCGCAGTCGATTTTCATGAGGATCGTCAGATCGTTTTGATCTCAACCGTTGATGACCGCGTATAGTGGCTATAAATAGTGGGGGGTCCTGGCCGTTTTCCTTCACCACAAACCTTCAGCTGTAGTTTTGAGCTCGCGTCCAAAGCCTCCGGCTCAGGTCAGTTCTTCTCAGTCCAGTCCATCTCTTTTCGGTGAGTCACCCTAGCTCTTCTTCGGTTTTGTTATGTCCTCCTTTGATAGCCAGTTAGATGAGCCCGAGGTGCCCGAGGTGGGTATCTCGGCTCAGGGTAACCCTACCGGAGTCCAGTCCCCCGAGGCGCGGGTGGCCTCGGGTAACTTGGCGTCCACCTCTCACCGAGGTCGGGTGCCGGACAGGTTTGGGCCTTCCACTATGACCCTGGAGAGGCTTCGTCAACTCATTCGGCAGTATAACTTGCCTAGGGAGTACACCTACAGTTTACCTGCGGGGAACATCCCATGGGAGCACGGCCCTAATGAGGTCGTGATCTTCCGAGAGCAGCTCATAGTTGGGCTGTGCCTTCCCTTCCATCCACTCATAGTGGAGGTCCTGGAACACTTCAACCTTACGATAGACCAGCTTCACCCGAACTCAATCCGTAGCATGGTTGGGACCATCTCTCTCTGTTACAAGTATGTCCTCCTCCTTGACTTGGACATATTCTATTCTCTCCTTACCATTAAGAAGAGCGCTTCATGCGTTCTCCCTGAGCACCAAAGGGCTTACTACTTGTCCCCTCGCCTAGGCTTTAAGTTAATGCACAAGCTTCCTAGCAAGATCCCAGCCTGGAAGAAAGACTACTTCGTAGTCCGAAACCCTGCGGGGTGGCCCTTCCCTACTCACTGGAGGGCGGCTATCCAAGACCCTGGTGTCATACTCGACAAGAAGACCAGGGAGGCATTTCAGTCGTGGGCGGAGGTCATTTGTGATTTCAGAGATTATATCACCGAGGGTATGCTCTTTCAGGTTGGCTTGAGCCCGAGTAGGTAGCTAGTACCTCAGTTGTTTGGCCCGCTCCTTTCTTTTACTCGAGTACTAACGCCGAGCTCTGTTGCAGGTCCCATGGAGGCAGACAAGCTCAAGGGAGATCGACTCTTCAAGCATATGAAGGGGAGGAAGAAGCGAGCTACTAAGAGAGACCGTATTGAGTCACCGCCAGCCCCCACTCCCGAGCTTAAGCTTCCACCAGCTCCAACTTCCGAGCCCGAGCTCCCTGGGGCTCCTCCGATCATTGACTTGGAGGAGTCCATACCACCAAGGGAGCTCGAGACCTCAGCTGAGTGTGCTACAAGGGCAGCAGCTGAGCCCAAGGCTGCCACCGGAGCTGCTAACGTAGTGGCTGAGGTCTCCGTTGAGCCCATCCATACAACTGAGACGGCGGTTTCCAGCTTGGGGAGCCCAGATGGGGGCCAAAGTATCTTGGTACCCCAATGCGGTCTTCGGAAGAGTAAGGGGGCCATTTACTCCGAGGAAATTTCAGTCTGGGCCAAAATGCACAACCCTGCTCAGCTCGGAGCCCGGGATGCTACCCACACTATGGTGGTAAGTTCTCTTCTCTTTCCTTTTCTTTCATATACACGTTTCTTCGGTACTAACTAACTTCCTTTGTCAGGCGAACTCCGCCGTGCATGCCTTCGCTCTACAGTCCGAGATGAACCTGAAGCGAGCTCTGACCGCCGAGGAGTCTTCCCGCGCCGCTCATACCGATATGAAAGTAGCTCGTGAGCAGATCCACCGGTTGGAGAGCGACACCATGGCCCAAAGGGGCGTCATTACGACGCTGACGGCGGAGAAGGACGAGCTAGCGCACGAGAATGATGTGCTGAGGGGTGAGATGGAGGCCCTCAAAGCGGAGCTGATGCGTGAGAAGGGCGTGTTGAGGGGCGAGATGGACGCCCTCAGGGCAGAGGCAGATGGGCTTAAGGAGAATAAGGAGGCCCTCCTGCATGAGGTGGAGTTCCTCAAGGCGGACATCGAAGAGAAGATCGAGATCTTCACTCAAGCGATAGAGGAGACGAAGGTCAAGGCAGTCGCGGAGTACATCCAATCCGATAAATTTGATGTCGTTTTGGGGGAGGCCTACCGCAAGGGGTTCAAGCTCAGCAGGTGGTTGATAAGGCACATGTACCCTGAGCTTGACACAAGCGCCATCACCACCTCGCGAATCACGGATGAGATAGCTCAGCAAGCCACAGAGGATCCGGATTCAGAGGAGGAGTACGGTGACGAGGAAGCAGACGCCCCTGACTAGCCTGAAGCTCCCGAAGAGGTCTCGCGCGGAGATGAAGATTCCCCGAAGTGATTGCTTTTATATTCCGAGCCTGCGAGCTCAATCTTTGTAGTTGTGTTTTTTTTTTTTGTGAAGCTCATTGTACAAAACTTACTTGTTAATGAAATTGATCTTTTTCCAAGTGTTGTCTTATCCGAGCTATCTTGGTTGAATGTGCGAAGTGATTGACATAGTAGGGCATACTAAGGCATATGCCCGAACCGTCTTGTGGCGTACTCCGAGGTGATTAAAGGTAAGGCATAGTAAGGCATGTGCCCGAACTGTCTTCTGGTATACACCGAGGTGATTGACAGTAAGGCATAGTAAGGCATGTGCCCGAACTGTCTTCTGGCATACACCAAGGCGGGTTAAGCGTCGCGGAATCTACCGGTCTGCTTGTACCCTCGACACGTTGTGTACTGTAGTGTCAAGCTCTTTGATCAGCTCGGTGTTTTAACCCCTTAGAATTCATCTGCATCATAGAGGTGGCTAGGTTACTATGCCGGAGTCTGTTAGCTTGGCATTTTTGCCCTTGA